CCCCTCCCTTCCATAAGCCTACTCTGCTCTGATTGGTCAGCTGGCCAAGTCTGTTGTGTGATTGGTCTTTCTGTATACAATGCGTGTCGGATACGAAACGCCCATTACCATAATTAATTTTTTGCTCCGGAGGGTTACTTGTAAACAAATATGCTATAAGGTTACAAAAATGGCTACTGCTATAAGGTTACAAAAAATGGCATTGATATTACCTTATCAATTCGAGCCCGAGTCCAAGGATGATACTGATGCAGTCGCTCAACTGGAAACTCCATCGCAAGCACGACTTGTTCAGGACGTTTCTCAGTGGTAAGTTTAAACTTTGCATGTGGTACTTTACGTGATATGACAGCAGTTTTATTGCATTATTATTCATTATTATTATTTACTTATTTGTAGGGCTGTGCAAAAAAATCGAATGCGATTTTCATGCTCATCTCGTCAGTAAGGTCGGTTCTGTGATTAGTAGTAAATCTCCAGCACGTGCTTTCAGGTGGAGCGGCATTTACTACACAGAGCCGTAGTTCACTCACGAATGCGATTTTCATGCTCATCTCGTCAGTAAAGTCGGTTCTGTGATTAGTAGTAAATCTCCATCCAGCACGTTCAGGTGGAGCGGCATTTACTACACAGAGCCGTAGTTCACTGACAAGCTACGCAAAATCGCGTTCATAATCGGCAATGAATCGCCTGCGATTTTGAACGCGATTTTGCGTAGCTTGTCAGTCATTCACAATCCTCTCCCGTGGCTTCATGGGATAGTAAAGTGTCTGTTGAATGTGCACTCTAATAGGTCATCCAGATACTTTTCGCCTACTGTTTTTTTAAATATTAAATTGGACATACTACACTTTTGGTATACTGTTTTTCACATACTACTGTATATAATATGGAAGTAGACATATTCAGACACAGAGTTCACCTTTAAGGAACTTAGCAGATGGATAGATGAATGGATGATGCAGGATGAAGTAGAAACAGATATTCATTGTGTGGGTGACACAGAGAGAATGAGAAGACCCAGACACGGTCAATAAGAACACAGAATGCCAGACAGAGACAAAAACACTAGCTCATTAGCTTCTCAAATAGATTCATCGGTTAGACTGAAAAGATACTTATGTACCCATATAGAATTATTTACCATAAATTTGTCCCCACAGTCTATACCTATTAGGGGTGTAAGAAAATATCGATACACGTGAGTATCGCGATATTTTGTTTGGCGATACTGTATCGATTCTCAAATACGGAATATCGATATTATTAAAAAAAAATCATACAAGATTCATGGCAGTTGTTTCGTTTTGAGTTTATATCTCGACCGCTAGATAGCAGTCTTCATCTCTGAACTTAAACAGTGACAGGAACTACTAGCATTGGGGCACGCCACTAATGTTAGCATTAATATAGTTCGCTGCTAGTAATGGAGGATGAAAGAATTGTTCCAGTTCCCGTTTCGGTGTACAAAGCTGAAGTGTGGCATCATTTGGGCTAATTCTAAGGTTCAGTCATTAAAAGACATACACTTACATGTGTGAGTGTTTGTATCTCTCCTGGGAAGAGAGTGCAATGTGTGTTATAGAAGAGTGAAAATCCCCTGACAGTCTAGTGCTTGCCTGCTGGCTAACAAGAAAACCAGTTCACGGTGTCTCTCCAGTCCAAGCCAAACTGGGCCGCAGCACGAGTCTGATTCAAGCACCTCATGTGAATGACAATTGACTGAATGTGTTATTTTTTCCTCTTTGTGTCTAGGGTAATTGTAGAGCCACAACCGTTTCACGCATGACGCAAACAGTCCATTACCTGGAGGTCCTTGGAGCTTGGCCTTTTTCACTGAAAAGAAAAGAAAAAAGACAAAGTAAGTGAAAACCCACAAATAGCGGGAAAGAGACTTTTTTTTTAATGATGAAAGGGACAAAATACAGATAAAGGCAAACTACTGCTTAATAGAGGATTTAACCACATATACCAAGCAAGTTCAAACAAAGCACAGGGTTCAGTCCCAACATCCAACCCATCATTTGCTGGCCCATAGCCATTAAAGTTTTAACCCTCTCCCAAACGATTTCCACTAGGTCTACCTGGAAAAATTCACATTCATATCGCATTTTAATGCAGCTGTTCAGCTGACACTAGACTCCAAAATAGGCAATCTTTGTTCAAGGGACAGAAAATTTGGGGCTTTTGACATAATCATAATTGCCATGTGACTAATTACTCTGGAGCCAAAGAAAAATGACATCATGAAAATACAGATTGGCTGATAGCTCCACATGAACATGACAGTCCCAAACCATTAGTGCCAAAAAAGGGTGTTTATCTACACCTATGGACATCAAAAAACACATTTTAAAACTAGGGTTACTGGGGGCCATAAAGAGGGTCCAGGACAATTAGAGAAATTTCTTGGATTAGAGGAAAATATCTTCAGATAATTTGTAAATAATTTACTTTGGCTTTAGCACCAGCATTGTTAATATTACCTAAAACAAAAACTAACGATTAGGGTAAACGTACCTATTAAAGTTATAATATGTAAGATTTTCGTAATAAAATATCCAAAAACTACTTGCACAGTGTTATATATTTTATGCAGTTGTGTATTTATGTCAGTTTAACCCGTCTGGTCAGAAATCATAAAACTAACCACATTTACTTTATTCTACTGACAGCCCTAGTTTAAAACAGTAAAGTACATTTTTATTATTATAGATTTATACATCTGCTGTTAGTGGGTAGAAAAAAATTTGCTGTCGAAACTATGCAAAGGAAAATATCTTAAGATAATTTGTAAATAATTTACTTTGGCTTTAGCACCAGCATTGTTAATATTACCTAAAACAAAAACTAACGATTAGGGTAAACGTACCTATTAAAGTTATAATATGTAAGATTTTCGTAATAAAATATCCAAAAACTACTTGCACAGTGTTATATATTTTATGCAGTTGT